AGGAGAGAAGATCAGCTGAGGAGACCTGAGGAGACACCTGAACACCTGAACATCAGACCATGGGCTGGTTTTTACTGATACTGGTTATCAGGTCTACTGGTTGTAGATGGTCCTGTAGGACCCTGGTTTGTTTATATAGTCTGCACACAGAGGTTAAACACTGGTAAATACACACATATATATATATATTAGTACAGTCTACAGTATTTTCTACAGTATCTCCTGGTTAAACATGGTCACAGTTACTCAGTCTGTATTGAAGGAGGTCCTCAGACTCACCAGACTCCTGCTGCAGATCCGGAACATTCTCGCTCTGACCGTGTTTTCTTCAGTGTTTGAGCTTCAGATCGGAAACGTTTGCTGTCTGAGGGACGTCTGAGCTGGACTTCAGGTGAACCTGGAGTAGCTGCGGGCCTGTCAGAGGACGTCACAAACTGTCAAACTGAAGCTTGTCACGAATGTCGGTTTGTCTTAACAAACTGTGTTTGTCCTCTTTGCCTAAACAAACAGCAACAAACACAAACTTTCACCTATTTTCACTGACGGGCAGGGAGGTCTGCTCAGGACCACCTCAGACCAGGAGGACCAGGGTCACCCAGGATCTTCAGATCAGTGTTCATGGACCTGCTGGTCTGAGACTGAGCAGTTATCCTGCTGAGTCTCTGAGGACCGTCCAAGATGTCCTCAGACTGAAGACAGAGTGTCTGTGTTTTTATGATAAACCGTCTCTTTAGTTTATTTACTGTTCCTGCTCTGAGAACATGGAGGATCTGCCCCAGGCCTCATTACACACACACACACTCACACACACACACACACACACACACACACACACACACACACACACACACACACACACACACACACACACACACTCACTGAAGTTTCTGTATTTGGATCATCTTCATATTTTGAACCTGTTTTTTTTTTTCATGAAGTAAATTTACAAACAGGAAACAACTTTAAAGCTACGAAGATAAACAACCCAACACTCCTACACTCCTACACTCCTACACTCCTACACTCCTTCCCTCCCTTCCTTCCTTCCCTCCTTCCTTCCCAGACAGCACACCTGAGGCCAAAGCCCCCCCCCCCCTCCCCCCCCCCCATCCTCAGAGACCTTTTTTCTCGTGATGATCTTCACTGAAGACTTTCAGATCCTTCATCATCATCAGGAACCTTCAGATCCCAAAGATCTCCTAGTTCTCTGTTCCCCTTCAGAACATCGAGGTCCAAACATGCAGGTCTGCTCAGAGTCTCTAAAGTCTCGACCCCCCCCCCAGAACAGTGTTGTCACGGGTGATTCTGTGGAGATCTGTGGCGCTGTGATCGACAACAGCCTGAAACTCAAATATAAAACTGAAGTCAAAGAAAGAAGAGCAACGACTTTTCTGTTGACCAAAGATCGTCAAATTTCCCTGATGTCGCTGTTTTGTTCGTCTTTTCTTGAGTCGGCCAGATCCTTTGTTTGATCTGTCGTCACGGTAACCAGGGGACCAGAGAGAAAATGTCCTGGACAGGACAGTAAGATGACAGGTGTTCAGCTCACTGACCTGAATCATCTTTTTAACAAACAGGTTCTTATAAAACCGTGTCCACTCGGTCTCAGTGTGAGCGTCCTCTCTGTCTCAGAGGGGACAGACACAGATGGACATGAACTTTATTGATGTTTGATTCATGAAGACTGAAGACAGAGTTCCCGGCAGTGAAGGCGTCTGTTTTTATACGGAATAACCCTTTAAGAAGCTCTGAGGCTGACAGGGTGACGGAGCGCTCTGGTGGATTTCAGGCAGGAAACGGTTGCAGCAGTCAGAGACGGCTGGTTTGAAGAAACCACGTGATGAAGCGAACTTCCTCTTCCAGTCCAGTCTTCAGTTTGACTGATCAGCGGCGCAGAGATGGCGGGTACGAGGTAAGGTCACATCTGATGGTGGGTGTCTGTCTGCATCTCCTCTGACCTGCAGGTCTGAGGATGGAGGAGACCCTGAAATAAGATCTTTGATATTTGGAGCCTCAGAGATCAGGCCGAGGTTCTCCTGCAGCGAGGAGCTGATTTCAGGCTCTTTGACGGAAGTGAAGCTGCTCTGAGGACGCTGCTGCGTATTTCCTGTGACTGAAGCGTCGCGGGTTTGAGATCCGTGATGGCAGCTGAGAAATGTGGTTTTTATCTCAGTGTCTGCAGAGGCTGAGAGCAGCAGCTCCTCTGTTCCTCCTCTTCACTGAGAAGAAACTCAGTTTGATGATTTTTTGTGTTTCTGTGTTTTTGTGTTTCTGTGTTCAGCACTCTGAGACGGCTCGGTTGTTTTTAAAGTTCTTGATAAATCTAAAGTTGAACCTCCTTCGTATCTTCAGCAGGTCCACTGAGGAGCCGTCTGAACATGTCCGCTCTGTAAATCAACCGGACCTGGTTCTGGTTCTGGGTTTGTCAGTTTTAAATCTCCATCCTGTGATTTTGGTCTGCAGCTGTGACACCCCCCCCCCTGTTGTTGACTGACAGAGGGATGAATTGTGTAACCGCAGTGAAGCAATCAGAAACAGGAACCTTAAAGACCGAGTCTGACGGTTTCAGCAGAGACCGGCTCCTTCACGGCTCACAGGATCAGGTCCTGGGTGGTTCAGGTCCAGAGAGTCCAAAACAAAACAGATGTAAATGGTTTTGTTTCAGTCAGGGGGGCGGTCTGGATTTATTCAGGTCTTTATTTCTGAGCCTCATCAGAGCCGACGGTTAGTGGACCCGGAAACAGGGGGGGGGGGGGGCGCTGAGATCGTCACGGCGGCGAGAGAGAGCGAGCTTTAACATCGCTCTGAGAGACAAAAAACAGTCAGCTGATTAAAGGTTATTGATTATGTCCTGATACTGTGAGGGCATCACTGCAGCTGCATGAATGAATGACAGCTCTGACCCACCAATGAGAGGCTGCCAATCATCCGCTGTGGGCGGGACATCAAACTCTGAACTGAGAGGATGAAACAAACGGACCTTCAAAGATCTTTAAAAACCGTCTCTGCAGGTTCTGATCCGTTCAGACTGTCTGTTTGACTTTAGTTCAGGACCTTCTGACCTTCTGATCTTTTACTCCAGAACTCTTATTCTGATGTTTGAGGAACACCTGTGCTCTGAGGTTCATGACCTCTGGATATTTAGCTGTTTAAATGTTAACCTTCCTGTTTGAGGAGACTTCAGCCTCGCTTTGTTGACTCTGTCCGTCCTTCTGTCCCGGTCACCTGTCTCTCAGCCCGAGGGGTTAACTCAGGAGCAGGAAGGTCAGACTCACCTGAACAAACGTAGGAACTAGGGAGGGTGTGGTCTATCCTCAGGGTCTATCCTCAGGGTCTATCCTCAGGGTCTATCTGGTTCTGAAAACCAGAGCAGACAGAGTTCGGGTTAAAATGGATCAGTTCACAGTTTCTCTTCTGCAGAGCCTCACCCTCAATCAGAGACATTCAGCGAAACAGGAAAACTCGTTTCTTAATTATATTTATTTAATATTTATTTATTATTTATATTCTTATTGATATTCTTATTTGATGACGACGATCATGATAGTGATGATGAAATTAGTGATAATAATAATGATAACAGTCGTGGTGATGGAGCCTTCGATTTTGATGGTAATGGTGATGATGATGAAGATGAGGATGATGATGATGATGATGATGATGTCCTATCAGAGTTAATCTTCTGTCTGTCCTCTTACTGAGCTGTTGTCCCCTGATACAGTGGAGGGACATGACATCTTCACTCTCTTTAGAACAGTTTAGAACTCTTAAGAACTCTTTAGAACTCTTTAGAACAGTCAGAACTCTTTAGAACTCTTTAAAACAGTCAGAACTCTATAGAACTCTTTAAAACAGTCAGAACTCTATAGAACTCTTTTAAACTGTCAGAACTCTTTAGAACTCTTTTAAACAGTTGGAACTCTTTCGAACTCTTTTAAACAGTTAGAATTCTTTAGAACTCTTTAGAACAGGCAGAACTCTTTAGAACTCTTTAGAACTCTTTTAAACAGTTAGAACTCTTTAGAACAGTCAGAACTCTTTAGAACTCTTTTAAACAGTTAGATCTCTTTAGAACTCCTTAGAACAGTTAGAACTCTTTAGAACTCTTTTAAACAGTTAGAACTCTTTAGAACTCTTTTAAACAGTCAGAACTCTTTAGAACTCTTTTAAACAGTCAGAACTCTTTAGAACTCTTTAGAACAGTCAGAACTTTTTAGAACTCTTTAGAACTCTTTAGATCTCTTGAGAACTCTTTAGAACAGTTAGAACTCTTTAGAACTCTTTTAAACAGTTAGAACTCTTTAGAACAGTCAGAACTCTTTTAAACAGTCAGAACTCTTTAGAACTCTTTTAAACAGTTAGAACTCTTTAGAACTCTTTAGAACTCTTTTAAACAGTTAGAACTCTTTAGAACAGTCAGAACTCTTTTAAACAGTCAGAACTCTTTAGAACTCTTTTAAACAGTTAGAACTCTTTAGAACAGTCAGAACTCTTTTAAACAGTCAGAACTCTTTAGAACTCTTTTAAACAGTTAGAACTCTTTAGAACTCTTTAGAACTCTTTTAAACAGTCAGAACTCTTTAGAACTCTTTAGAACTCTTTTAAACAGTCAGAACTCTTTAGAACTCTTTTAAACAGTCAGAACTCTTTAGAACTCTTTTAAACAGTCAGAACTCTATAGAACTCTTTAGAACTCTTTTAAACAGTTAGATCTCTTTAGAACTCTTTAGAACTCTTTTAAACAGTCAGAACTCTATAGAACTCTTTAGAACTCTCCCAGATGTTTCTTTGACCCTGTCTCTGTCTTTTGATGAAGACGATGTTGTCCTTTTTCGTCCTCAGAATCACCAACAAACAGCTGACTGTGATTCAGCCTCTTCAGCCTCCAGCAGCTACAGACACTGTGCAGAAACGGGTCAAGAGCTCCCAGAACACCACAGACCGACTCAGTCAGTCCAAGTCCATGGTCCTGCAGGACGCCGACCTGCCCCAGAAACCAGTACGAACACACAACACAGCAGAGAGACACACTACAGACACACACTAAGGACACACACTACAGACACACACACTACAGACACACACTACAGACACACACTAAAGACACACACACACTACAGACACACACTACAGACACACACTACAGACACATGCTACAGACACACACACTACAAAGACACACACAGACTACAGACACACACAGACTACAGACTACAGACACACACTACAGAGACACAAAGACTACAGACACACACAGACTACAGACACACACTACAGAGATACACAGACTACAGACACACAGACTACAGACACACACACTACAGACACAGACTACAGACACACATCCAGGGACAGAGTTTGTCTGTGAAGTTTGTTGTTTTGAGTGTTTTTGTTAACTGACCTTCCCTGAGAGAGGCTGCCATCTTTGTTCTGACATACTGACCAATCAGAGGCCTTTAACTGTGATGGACTGACCTGTTAAGGTCCAATGAGAGGCCAGGGTGGCTCACGGTCCGCTCTAGCACAGAAATATAAACAGTAGATCTGTTTGTAGATCTGAGTTACTCCTTCAGCTCATTCTGGTGTCAGTAGATCTGCGCTCTGCTTCATTTACTCACGTGATCAATTTCATCTAAAAGTGAAAATATGAATTTAAGACCTGAAACTGCGGACTGGTAACCATGGTAACCTGCTCCACCTCCATCACACTCTGGTCTTAAACTCCACCTTCTGTTTCTAGATCTCTCGGCATCGCAGGAATCAGTCTCAACACAATGTGGCGGTCTCAGGGGGCGGGGCTTCTGTTCTGAAACCGCTGGTAGGTTCATACAAGCATGATCAATATCATAATATCGATCAATGACATCAGAGCAAATTAACTCAAATGATTCAGACAAACTAAGAAACATCGTTTCTTCACCGTGAAATAATAATAAAAATCAGGATAATCAATCAAAGATCAGCGATCAATTTTATTTTAATTTAATTTAATTTAATTTTAATTATTTAAACAAAGAAACTCAGTCAGTGAAACTGGAGACGTTTCTACCAGTCAGTGAGAGAAAGAGAGAGAGAGAGAGAGAGAGAGAGAGAGAGAGAGAGGCAACAACTAGATTAAAGTGTGTGTGTGTGTGTGTGCTTGTGTGTGTGTGTGTGTGTATTACCAGGTGCAGCTGAAAGGTGAACACCTGAACGTGGCGAAGATCTCTGAGGGCGGGAAGAAGCAGAAGAAGAACTGGACTCAGATGTGGAGCGTGTTGACCTCCGACCAGCTGCTGCTGTATAAAGAGAAACAGGCGGAAAGCAGTCAGGTAACAGAAACAGTCAGGTAACAAAAGCAGTCAGTTTACAAAAACAGTCAGGTAAAAAAAACAGTCAGGTAACAGAAACAGTCAGGTAACAGAAACAGTCAGTTTACAAAAACAGTCAGGTAACAGAAACAGTCAGGTAACAGAAACAGTCAGGTAAAAACAGTCAGGTAACAAAAACAGTCAGGTAACAGAAACTCCATCATGTGTTTTATTCATCTTTCTGTGTCCCTCTGTTGTCTCTCTCTGTTGTCTCTCTCTCTCTCTCTCTTTTGTCTGAACTGAATATTTCATTCATCTCTTTGCGCTGCTGTCCACCTTCACTGTGTCCAGAAAACAGGAAGTAAGACAGACGTGGTCGCTCTGTGTGGAGCTGTGATCATGTGGACGTCAGAGAAGTCCAGCAAGAAAAACGTCTTTCAGGTAAAAATGAGACGAGAGTTTACGGCGTCATTAAAGGGTTAACGGTTTTCACTGACCTCAGATTTACTCACTGACATATGAATGTTACTCATGTTTACTGAAGTATTTATTATTATTATTTATGTTTACTGCAGTATTTATTATTATTATTTATGTTTTACTGCAGTATTGGATGTATTGTTTGTTTTACTGCAGTATTTATTATTATTTATGTTTTACTGCAGTATTGGATGTATTGTTTGTTTTACTGCAGTATTTATTATTATTATTTGTTTTACTGCAGTATTTATTATTATTATTTATGTTTTACTGCAGTATTTATTATTATTATTCATGTTTTACTGCAGTATTTGTTATTATTTTTCATGTTTTACTGCAGTATTTATTATTATTTATGTTTTACTGCAGTATTTATTATTATTATTTATGTTTTACTGCAGTATTTGTTATTATTTTTCATGTTTTACTGCAGTATTTATTATTATTTATGTTTTACTGCAGTATTTGTTGTATTTTTACTGCTTTAGTCGTTTTGTTCTGACCGTCATGTTCATAAAGTTTCACTGAATTGAATCGTGATGAAAATCGTGTTTTCACGATGTTGTCGTCCTTCTCGCTGTTTCTGACGTTTTTTAAATCTGAATCCTGATCAGATCACCACAAACACAGGAAGTGAGTACCTTCTCCAGACCGACAGTTACTCCACCGCCGTTCAGTGGTTCGACGCCATCAGGAGGAGCGTGGACGCTTCGGTGAGACGCTCTTTATCCGATAATCGGATTTTTTTAACCTTGAAAAATAAAAAAACGTTTATTTGAAATGAAACCGACTTTTGTTCAGACCAGAGCAGACGGAGGGTTTCCTCTGCGCAGATCCAACAGCTCAGATTACCTGCCCAGACACAGCTCCTTACCTGGACATGGCTCCGCCCCCTCCAGCAGCAAGCAGCCCAACGCCGCGCACAGACGCTCCATCAGTGAGTGACGCAGGCCGACCAACACAATCACAACAATAATGATAATTATCATTATTACTAAATTATTGATCATTAGTTCAATACTGGGCAGCTAAAGGAAACGGGTCACATGACTGACTGCCATGAATCCGCCCAGTGACGGGTCAAAGGTGATGGGGGGACGTTGGACTCGTGTCTGACAGCGTCATGACGGGAGTGTGTCGAGAAGTGACGAAAATAAAAGTTCGTCTGTTTCTTGATGTTTCCTGCAGACATGTTCGGCAGCTCCAAACTCAAGCACAGCACGTCGGACAGCGCCGACAAAAACGGCGTGAAGAGCCGCCTGAAAAAGTTCATCATCAGACGCCCGTCCATGAAGACGCTGCAGGAAAAAGGCCTCATCAAAGGTTCCTGCTGGTCCTTTCAAAATAAAACTACAGTTACTCTCTTTACTGTCGTCTTAATAAAGAGTCACAGATAAACACCGATGTGTGACGTTTTCAATAATCGATCAATCAAACTGATCAAACCTGAAAATCTCCTCAGATCGAGTTTTCGGCTGTCAGCTGTCCACGCTCTGCCAACGGGAGGGAAACAGCGTGCCCAGGTTCGTCCAGATCTGCGTGGACGCCGTGGACAAGAGAGGTACGACCTGAGCCAGTCAATCAATCAATCAATTAATCAATCAAGTGATTATGAAATTGTAATTGGATGTGTGTTTGGGGGGCGGAGTCTGTATTTTTTCTGACGTTTGTGTGTTTCTCGGGGGCGGGGTCTGTGTTGGTTCAGGTCTGGAGGTGGACGGGATCTACAGGGTCAGCGGGAATCTGGCTGTGATCCAGAAACTTCGCTTCATGGTGGATCAGGGTGGGTTCACAGAAACTGATCACCTGATCCATCAGCTGATACACCTGGTCCTGATGAGGAGGGTCACACCTGTGTCAGTCCTTCACAGACCTTGGTGACCAGGAAGTGGAAAAAACCCTCATCACTAAAGTCCGACTGAGTCCTGTTTTTATTGATCCAGGGTTCGATGATCTTCTCCTGAATGACTGAGACTCAGTGATGAGCAGCTGAGGCTGTGATCATGTGATCGTCTGTTTGAATAATTATCTTTATTTTACCGTCTAAACGGTGAAAAACAAGCAGAGGACTCGAACCCCCGATCTCAGCACAGATTAACCCATGAGTCGTACCGTCACAGATCTACAGCCGAGTCTCAACGGACTTTAGTCTGAAAGTCGGGACAAATTTCCCCGAAAGAAAGCGATTCAGAAATCACATCAGACTGTAAACAGCTGAAAGAAACAGCCTCTGAACACGGACCTCAAACAGGCCGAGTGGACCCTCTTTAACACTGAGGATGCAGCATCTAGGATTTCTGGATCTTTGTTGAAAGAACAACTGGACTTACTTGAGACTCACGTAAGTCCAGTTGTTCTTTCCAAAAGAGTTTTAGATTTTGATCCATCAGACCTCAGGACAGTTCAGGGACACGTGATATCACTCCGTGTTTCAGGAGGATCGTATTTCACACCATGCAAACGGGCGGAGACGAACAAGTGAAAGGTTTTTAGACGTCATTTCACCTCGATGACACCATGGATGAGGAGATGCTGATTCTAGAAGTCTAGAAGTAGATTTCCTCCTCTGGAAGGACACAATCTACTGCTTATATGTCTATGTGTCTGTCGTTATAGAGACAACTCGTTATCGTGAGATTGAACGTAAATCTGCGGGTTCTTGGGAGTTCTCTTGATTCCTGCTGTCTTTAATCCGCCACAAAATTCGCCTCACAAACAGATCGTAGGAATTGGTGGACGGCTAAAATCGCTATTGTTCCGGCTGGCTCCTGGCTGGCTCGCCACTTATATAGAAGATTTCATAGATGCAAAGGTGCGTGCGAACGGGCGGAGACGAACAAGTGAAAGGCACAAACGGATCTGGTAGGAATTGGCGGTCTGTGAAAATTGGAGCCGTTCTGGATGTGGTGGAAATCCCGGGTTCTCCTTGTCCTGACCTGCGCTCAGACTCTCTATATCACCTGTTTCTATGATTTAATGACTCACCTGTGTACGTCTGTCCCCCCAGAGGAGCACCTGGACCTGGATCACAGTCAGTGGGAGGACATCCACGTGGTCACCGGAGCCCTCAAGATGTTTTTCCGTGAGCTTCCTGAGCCGCTGTTCCCCTTCAGGTTCTTCCAGCCGTTCGTGGACGCCATCAGTGAGTCCGACTGTTTACAAAAACAAAAACCTCGAATTACAGGACACCATCACCTTCAGTGAGGAGCTACACCTGAGCTACACCCAGGCAGTTCAGTCAGGATACTGACCTGCATTAGGCGAGGGCTGAGGAGGTGAGGCAGGCAGACCATCAGCAAAGACCGTGAGGTTCAGAGCAGCATCAGTGAGCGTCCATCTGACCCGAGTAAAGCCGAGTCAGCATGAAGAAAAGGTGGAGCAGAGGTGGAGCAGAGGTGGAGCAGGGAGAGCATCAGCTAAGGGGTTTACTGAGGACAGGCTGAAGAATAGAAACCAGAACATCTAGACTTTACTCTGAACTCAGACACACATTTAAGACACGATGGTATGACCGACATGAACTCTGACTTTAACAGTTTCACACGTTTGTTTGTTTCCCTGAAAATCTTTTTACTCCAGAAATCAAAGAGTCCAAACAGAAAGTTCAGGCTGTGAAGAAACTGATCCTGGAGCTGCCCAAACCCAACAAGGACACTATGAAGCTGCTCTTCAGTCACCTGCACAGGTAACACCCACCTTCACCGTCTGACCCACCTTCAGCGTCTGAACCACCTTCAGCGTCTGAACCACCTTCACCGTCTGAACCACCTTCAGCGTCTGAACCACCTTCACCGTTTATCAAATTTGAACATGAACTCATTTTGACCTGAAGTGTCTTAGCTGAGGTCTTATCGTCTCTTTTCCCGTCTCCTCTGGTCTTCAGGGTTTTGGCGTTTTCCAGGAAGAACCTCATGTCCACTCAGGGTATCGGCATCGTCTTCGGCCCGACGCTGATGTGGGCGGAGCAGGATGCAGGAAACATGGCCGTCAACATGGTCTACCAGAACCAGATCATCGAGTTCATCCTGACAGAGAGCCAGGAAATCTTCAACCTGTGATCACCTGCTGGACTCGTCCTCACAGGGTCAAACTAGCCCTCTAAACACGTTCTCCTTCCTCACCTGGTGACTCCATGAACACCTGCTGTGAGCCGCACTGTAAAAAACAAACTGAAGCTTTATGATGTAATAAAGTCTGAAGAACGTTCACAATCGTTTCAGTCACGACAAACGTCCAGATCTCTTTCTGTCTCACAGATCCTGATCAGGCCTTCAGACCGGATCAGGATCTGCTCAGTCCTCGGCCTGTCTGCTGTGTCCGATCAGACATAGATGTCCCTCTGCCTCCAATCAAACATAGATGTCCCTCTACCTCTGATCAAACATAGATGTCCCTCTACCTCCGATCAGACATAGATGTCCCTCTGCCTCTGATCAAACATAGATGTCCCTCTGCCTCTGGACAGACATAGATGTCCCTCTGCTGCCAATCAAACATAGATGTCCCTCTGCCTCCGGACAGACATAGATGTCCCTCTACCTCTGATCAGACATAGATGTCCCTCTACCTCTGATCAAACATAGATGTCCCTCTACCTCCGATCAAACATAGATGTCCCTCTACCGCTGATCAAACATAGATGTCCCTCTGCCTCTGATCAAACATAGATGTCCCTCTGCCTCCGATCAAACATAGATGTCCCTCTGTCTCCGATCAAACATAGATGTCCCTCTGCCTCCGGACAGACATAGATGTCCCTCTGCCTCTGATCAAACATAGATGTCCCTCTGCCTCCGATCAAACATAGATGTCCCTCTACCTCTGATCAAACATAGATGTCCCTCTACCTCCGATCAGACATAGATGTCCCTCTGCCTCTGATCAAACATAGATGTCCCTCTACCTCTGATCAAACATAGATGTCCCTCTACCTCCGATCAGACATAGATGTCCCTCTGCCTCTGATCAAACATAGATGTCCCTCTGCCTCCGGACAGACATAGATGTCCCTCTACCTCTGATCAGACATAGATGTCCCTCTGCCTCTGATCAAACATAGATGTCCCTCTACCTCCGATCAAACATAGATGTCCCTCTACCGCTGATCAAACATAGATGTCCCTCTGCCTCTGATCAAACATAGATGTCCCTCTGCCTCCGATCAAACATAGATGTCCCTCTGTCTCCGATCAAACATAGATGTCCCTCTGCCTCCGGACAGACATAGATGTCCCTCTGCCTCTGATCAAACATAGATGTCCCTCTGCCTCCGATCAAACATAGATGTCCCTCTGTCTCCGATCAAACATAGATGTCCCTCTGCCTCCGGACAGACATAGATGTCCCTCTGCCTCCGATCAAACATAGATGTCCCTCTGTCGTGTGTCCTGGTCAAGGAGGCAGGGGGTCAGCTGATAAGGTCACCCTGTCACCTGCATGATGTTGTCATGGTGACGACAGCTCCTGTGAGATGGGGGGGGGGGGGGGGGGGGTCATCTTTGTATTATAAAATTCATCTTAAATATAAAAATTAAACCCTCAGAAATGATTTAACTAAAGACCTCTGTCACACACACACACACACACACACACACACACACACACTCACCCGCTGTTGTTGTCGTTGTTGTTGTTGTTGTTGTTGTTGCTGTTGTTGTTGTCGTTGTTGTTGTTGTCGTTGTTGTTGCTGTTGTTGTTGTTGTTGTCGTTGTTGTTGCTGTTGTTGTTGTTGTTGTTGTCATTGTTGTTGTTGTCGTTGTTGTTGCTGTTGTTGTTGATGTTGTCGATGATGTTGTTGTTGTTGTCGTTGTTGTTGTGCTGCTCAGCATTAACCTCCTCTAACTGGTTCAGCCACCAGGGGGCAGTGTAGGGTTCAGTTTTCTGTTTTTAGAGTACTGCAGTGGATGAATAAAGTCCTGCAGGATACTCATGAAGTACTGCAGTAAAAGTACGTCTGCAGGGTACCAGGACAGTCTGACTGTTTTCACTAAACTCGTATACTCGCAGTATTTTAAAAAGTACTTGGATGTGAGTCTTGAACACGGATAACTGTAGTATCTTTTATTTTGAATCACACATTAACAAACACAACGAAACCCACTTCTGTCTGAATACACACCCACATAAACACTGTGCTGTTCATGAGGCGTTCAGGGGAATCCAGGAAAACAGAGACACAACAGTTCAACACATGTACACAGTAAAAATAAGACACTGATAAATACTCTGAGCGATCCTCCAAAACAAAAACAGCTCTTCAATATATCTAAAAAATAAATAACTTTAAATTAAAAACAATCAGCAAAAATTCAACAAAGTTCATAAGAATTATAAAAAAAACATCTTTTTAAAACGGCAGGAGAACAGATCTGTTTCTGTGCTTTCATGACTGAGTTTCAGGTTTGATCCTGTTTCTGTTTGTTTCAAAGACATTTTTTAAATAAAGTTACTGAGTATAAATGTGATCAGAGGACGGATTTGGTCCTTAGAGGAGAAAAAACTAAAACTACATCCAAACATTCAAGTAAACTTGGTCCTCAATAAAACTTCAAAGTTTCATCAGTGAAAAATAAAAATAATGAAAATTCACTGAAACGAGAAAAAAAATCTGTTCATACAAAAAAAAATCTTTTCCTGATGATTTTAAACTTTGTGGATAATTCTTTAAACACTGAATGAAACACGGAACAAAAACACGACATCACTTCCTGTCATAAAGAATTTAACGTCAAACACCGAATTCATCAAAACTTCGGTTTCGGAGTCGGATTTCGGCCCCTGAATATAACACGACTGTAAACACCCCAGACTGATCCGGGTTCTGTCGGGTCAGAACCAGAGTCTCATGAACACAACACTGAGTCACATCCACAAGACTGACAGCACTGCTCACTCTTAAGGTTTTTAAGGTGGTATGATTGTTAAGGTGGAATGGTTGGTCAGGTTAAAATGCTGTTAAAGTGGAATGGCCTCAGTGGTTGAATGACTTAAAGGTAGAACAGTTGTTAAGGTGGTATGGTCACTAAAGTTGAACAGTTGTTAAGGTGGAATGGTCGTAAAGTTGAACAGTTGTTAAGGTGGAATGGTTGTTAAAGTTGAACAGTTGTTAAGGTGGAATGGTCGTAAAGTTGAACAGTTGTTAAGGTGGAATGGTCGTCAAGTTGAACAGTTGTTAAGGTGGAATGGTCACTAAAGTTGAACAGTTGTTAAGGTGGAATGGTTGTTAAAGTTGAACAGTTGTTAAGGTGGAATGGTCACGAAAGTTTAACAGTTGTTAAGGTGGAATGGTCACGAAAGTTGAACAGTTGTTAAGGTGGTATGGTTGTAAAAGATGAACAGTTGTTAAGGTGGAATGGTCACTAAAGTTGAACAGTTGTTAAGGTGGAATGGTTGTTAAAGTTGAACAGTTGTTAAGGTGGAATGGTCGTAAAGTTGAACAGTTGTTAAGGTGGAATGGTCACTAAAGTTGAACAGTTGTTAAGGTGGAATGGTCGTAAAGGTGTACAGTTGTTAAGGTGGAATGGTTGTTTAAGTTGAACAGTTTTTAAGGTGGAATGGTTGTTAAAGTTGAACAGTTGTTAAGGTGGAATGGTCACGAAAGTTTAACAGTTGTTAAGGTGGAATGGTCACGAAAGTTGAACAGTTGTTAAGGTGGTATGGTTGTAAAAGATGAACAGCTGTTAAGGTGGAATGGTCACTAAAGTTGAACAGTTGTTAAGGTGGAATGGTCACTAAAGTTGAACAGTTGTTAAGGTGGAATGGTCACTAAAGTATTTGAGGAGGTGAAAAGGGTGGAGTCCTTATAAATGTTGCTTTTTTTAAGGTGGACTGGATATTATGGTTAAAGGGCCTTTAAGGTGGAATGGTTTTTAAGGCTGGATGGCTGATAGTAGAGATGGTTGTTAAGGTGGAATGTTGTATTAGTAGATCAGTAAATGAGGAGTCTGGTTCGGGTAAAGGCAGAGCGGTGAAAGTCAAACATCCAGAGGGGAAAACTGAAGCGGCGCCGTCTTCGACCTGCGCAGACAGGAAGTGACAAAAACAAAGAGAAGAAGGAGGAGGAGTTGATTCACGTTAAACATTTACGAACATCGTAAAATCACGATTTCTGTTGTTACAAAGATAGTTATTAAAGTTTCACATGGTTGGTGTCCGTCGCTGTGACACTTTACAATCTTACCACCATGACCAACGAGCTCATAAACTCTGTTTACAGTTGCCGTGGTTACCTGGTTAAATCTGTGGTCGCACTAATCACCGATCTGTTAACATGCGAACTAAAGTCAGGTGACCCTGAGGCTGAACTCAGTCTGCTGTGAGCAAACGAGAGGCGAGCAGGATCAGGGTTTCCTGAGCATTGATCAGTTATTGATCGGACCGGACTGATCCGAATCAAACCGGGTCGCTCTTTGGCGGCGGTGACTCACCGTCCTCCTACTTGGCGTGGCTCTGGTGAGGTTGTTGCTGCAGTTGCTGCCGGGAGGAGTAGTGGCGTGGACTGGACGTGGCCCCGCCTCCCCTGACGGGGGTCCTGATGGATGCAGAGAGGACCTGGTGCTGATGGTGCTGATGTCCAGCTCTGATTGGCTTAGCTGGAGAGAATAAGGTCATGTGATCAGCTGAAGCACACAGAGAGACTGATGTCATCAGTGCGCGTATCACGGTGCGTTAAACAGGGCAAAGGTCAAAGTGACGTCAGCTGACTGGACCTCTGCTGTCTCACCTGTCGCCATGGCGGCTCATTACATCGCTCTGAGCGCGCTCAGACTTGACTGGGTCTGGTTTCTGGATCAGGATCTTTTCCTGCAGCGCCCCCTGCAGGTGTGAGCACTCACCTATCTGCGCCGAGTGTCCTCTGCGGCAAACGTTCTTGGACCGGACCGCCTCCTTGATGCGGTCCACTTCCTGTTGGTAGCGTTTGCGGTCCCTCACGGCGGACTCTTTGGCGGCTCTCAGGGCCGTCTCGAGGGCTTTGACCCGCTCCGCCGTCGCTCGCAGACGTTTCTCCAGTTTGGGCAACTCGCAGCGGAGATCGGCGTTATCCCGCACGAGCTGTCAAACACAGAAGGTCATTTTCTGACAGGTCAAAGGTCAAAACTTCAATAAAAGTTAGAGTTACGCTGAGTTTTAGTTTCCTCAGAAGTCGGATGTCGGGTTAATCAAGGTCATTAATCAGGCCGTTTTATTTAGGCCACGCCCCCTCAGCCTCTCTCTTTCTTTGTACTGATTGGATTTAAAGTCACACAGCTGTCGGCGCCGCGGTCACACGGGATGGTCTCAGGCGTTCTCACCTGTTTGTGGACCTTGCTGAGCTGCTCGAGGTTATTCTCCAGGAAGATGATTCGCTGCCTCTGAGCCAGACTTCCTCCGGCCTCGTCACAGTCGTTCTCCGAACTCTGGAAAAGAAAACACACCAGGGACAGGTGAGTCCAGGTGAGTCCAGGTGAGTCCCCCTGGAGGTCCTGGAGGTGAAGTGAAACAGTTCTGATGATGGTGGAGAAGGTTCCTTTAAAACCTCACGTCCATTTTTCCTACAGGTCAGTGTGTGTGTGTGTGTGTGTGTGTGTGTGTGTGTGTGTGTGTGTGTGTGTGTGTGTGTGTGTGTGTGTATGTGTGTGTTTGTGAGCTGAATTCTGATTGGCTGAGACAAACTCAGCGCTTGCTCTCTTACGCTCTTGACTCTGGTGGCGATGTCCTGGATGAAGACCTTGCGGAGGTCGTGGAGCGTCTGAAGCTCTTTGGCCTGTTGGACAAAAACACAAACTCAGCAGGTCTGAAGAAGGTCACGACGTCAAGATCAAGATGATGGTCCACGTACCACGGTCTCCTCCAGACCCTTCAGGTCCTCTTTAGCTTGTTCTCGCTTCTCATTCAGGAACCTGATCACACAAAGACATATCTATAGATATACAGGATATAGATCTACAGACACACAGCCCGACGGCGGTGTGAGACGTGTCGGTTGCGTGTACGGCGAGCACTGAGGGACAAACTCACGTGAGTTTCTGGAGTCTCTGCTCTTTGTTCTGATCTTCAGATCTGAGTTTGTCGAAGTCCGACTGGAGCTTCCTGATCTCCAGCTGCTGAGCCCGATTCACACTAAACACACAACAGCTGATCAGTCGACCGTTCATCCATTCATTCACTCATTCATTCACTCATTCATCAATATTGGACAAATGAAGTCGTCTGGTGATCATGACAACAAAGTTGATCACACTCCATCAGCTCTGATCAATAATCAATGATTAACCATGCTGATCAGCTGCTGCCCAGATATCATGATAACTGATCAATGAGTCAGTGATTAATTGTTACAGCTAACGATCAATACTCTCAATCAGTCAATAATCAATAGCTGACTCTCTCAGGTGGTCCAGGTCTCTCTGCTTCTGCTCGATCTCGTCTCGGAGTCGACTCAGCTGTTTGTGATGAACCTCTCTGTGGTTCTCCATCTGCTCCTCCAGGGTCCTCTGAGGAACCATCAATACAACAATCAATACAGTGATCAATACAACGATCAATACAACGATCAATACAACGATCAATACATCCATCAATACAGTGATCAATACAACGATCAATACAGTGATCAATACAACCATCAATACAGTGATCAATACAACGATCAATACAGTGATCAATACAACAATCAATACATCCATCAGTACAGTGATCAATACAACCATCAATACATCCATCAGTACAGTGATCAATACATCCAGTCATGTTATCAGTCATTGGTCTGTCAGGTGATCAGTCATTGATCAGTCATTGATCAGTTATTCTTATTATTCTTATTTTCAGATAATCAATAAAATCTTCACCTTCATCTCCACGGCGTCCTTCAGTCGGCTCATGTGTTCTTTCTCTTTGTCCATCACTGTGAGTTCATGCATCTGACCTGTGAACACACACACATGAACACACACACATGAACACACATGAACACACATGAACACACACACACATGAACACACACACACACACACACACATGAACACACACATGAACACACACACACACACACACATGAACACACACACACACACACATGAACACACACACATGAACACACACACACACATGAACACACACACACACACATATGAACACAAACACACACATGAACACACACACACACACATGAACACACACACACACACACATGAACACAAACACACACATGAACACACACACACACATGAAACACACACACACACACACACACATACATATGAACACACACACACACATGAACACACACTCACACACATGAACACAAACACACACATGAACACACACACACAGATGAACACACACACACACATGAACACACACACATACACACAGACACACACACACATGAACACACACACACACACACACACACACACACACACATGAACACACACACACACACACACACACACATGAACACACACACACACACACACACACACACACACACACACACACACACACACACACATGAACACACACACACACACACACACACACACATGAACACACACACACACACACATGAACACACACACACACACACATGAACACACACACACACACACACATGAACACACACACACACACACACATGAACACAAACACACACATGAACACACACACACACGTGAACACACACACACACACATGAACACAAACACACACATGAACACACACACACACACACACACATGAACACACACACACACATGAACACACACACACACACACACACACACACACACACACACACACATGAACACACACACACACACACATGAACACACACACACACACACATGAACACACACACACACACACACACACACACAACACACACACACACACACACACACACATGAACACACACACACACACACACATGAACACACACACACACACACACACACACACGGTCTCTGTTTTTGTTCTGATATTTACAGGAAGCCTTCGACCAATCAGAGCGCAGTATTTCCTTGAACTATGGTCACATGACTGACCTTGAGCGGTGAGTTTGGCGACCTCCTCCACCAGAGCGTCCTGACTCTCCTCCAGCTTCCTCTTCCTCTGCTCCACCTTCTGCAGGTCCTCCGTCAGCGACACCACCTTGGCCTGCAGCTGCAACAGCCAATCAGAGCCCACCGAGTAAACAGAGAGGGTCAGGAGGTGTGATCAATAATCTGATCACTGTGATCAATAATCAGATCACTGTGATCAATAATCTGATCACTGTGATCAATAATCTGATCACTGTGATCGACACAGGGCAGATTCTTTCATCAATAATGTTTAATGATGTCGACATAAAACCGATCACAAATATTCAATCATAGTTATTGATGATATAAATCCGTCACCCAGGTGACCCTGTGATGTCACGGTGATGTCAGAGGTTACCTGGGAGACGAGCAGCTGACAGGCGTTGAGCTCCTTCTCGTTCTCCTCGGTTCTGCTCAGGTTCTGGTTCAGGTTCAGCTCCAGCTGTTTGCTGCGGGTCACCAGAGACTTCACCTCCGACTTCATCTTACTGACGTAGAGGCGGGCCGTGGTGAACTCCTCCTCCATCACGCCGCTCGCCTCCGTCATCTGCAGAGAGGGCGTGAATAAACGTCGACACAACGACTACACACCAACCAATCAATCAATCAATCAATCAATCAATCAAACAGGTTCACTGGAACTACACCATCCTGGAGCCCTGGAGTGATGAAGTGGTGAAAGTGTACGAACCCAAGGAGGTGAACGGACACAGTGATTGGCTGACAGCAGAGAGTGGGCGGAGTCTTACTGCTTTGAGGTCAGAGGTCCCGAGGACGCCGCCGATGTCACTGAGGTCTCTGAGCAGCAGACTGAGGATCTCTGCGGACCGCTTCCTGTAGTGAGAGCTGACTTCCTGTAGGGTGGAGAACTCCCTCTGAACCGCCTCCAGACCCACCTGGAACAGAACCGGACCACAGAACCGGACCGTCAATATGATCCAGAACTACACAAGGGTCAATACCTGTCTGTGTGTCTCTCCCTCTCTCTCTCTCTCTCTCTTCATCTCTCTCTCTCTTCATCTCTCTCTCTCTCTCTCTCTCTCTCTCTCTCTCTCTCTCTCTCTCTCTCTCTCTCTCTCTTCATCTCTCTCTCTCTCTCTCTCTCTCTCTCTCTCTCTCTCTCTCTCTCTCTCTCTCTCTCTCTCTCTCTCTCTCTCTCTCTCTCTCTTCCTCCCTCTCTCTGACTCTCTGACTCTCTCTCTCTCTCTCTCTTCCTCCCTCTCTCCTTTCCTCCCTATCTCTCTCTCTCTCTCTCTCCCTCTTTCTCTCTCTCTCTCTCTCTCTTCCTCTCTCTCTCTCTCTCTCTCTCTCTCTCTCTCTCTCTCTCTCTCTCTCTCTCTCTCTCTCTCTCTCTCTTCCTCTCTCTCTCTCTCCCTCTCTCGCCCTCTCTCTCTCCCTCTCTCTCTCTCTCTCTGGAGATGGCGTGTGAGTGCTGAGAGCGAATCAATCTTTGATTCAACTTTTTTTCTAACTTCGTTTCTTTTCTTCTTCTATCGTCTCTGTATTGAATGGTCATTGTTTGGATTATTTGTTCATAACTTTTGGTTAAACAGTTCAGTGTTTTTTGTGTGTTTTCTTCGTGCCTGGTGGCGAGGATGGCGTCCTCTGAGACGCCACCTCCGCCAGCGTCCCTGAGACACGGCGTGAGGCTGGTGCCACCGCCGGCCTCCTCTGTGGAGCAGGTCCTGTTGGCTGTGGGAGACCAGGTGGGCCACGGTAATATCTCATATGCCTCCCGCATGAACAAAGCCGTGGTAGTGTTTCACAAAGAACAGACACATGTTACCAAACTTATTGAGGATGGATTAACCCTCAACGAGGAGTTTATCCAAGTTTCCCCGCTGGCCTTGCCGTCCACGCGGATCACCGTGTCCGGCGTCCCTCCATTCATCCCGAATGAAGCGCTGGAACGGGAGCTCAAGCGGTTCGGTAAGTTCGCCAGTGGTTTTCGTACTGTTGCTTTGGGATGTAAAGATGCTAAGCTAAAGCATGTTCAGTCTCTGAGGAGACAGGTCTTCATGTTTTTAGACTCTCCAGCTCAGACACTGGATGTGTCCTTCCGTGTAAAACACGAGGAAGGTTTTTACATGGTGTATGCTAGCTCAGGGAGTATGAAGTGTTTTGAGTGTGGAGACGTGGGCCATAAACGTGTCGCTTGTCCTCACCGACAGCACACGGTGAGACCCGCTGGAGATGACAGCAGGGAGGTGAGCGGTGGGGCCGGTAGGCCGGTGTGGGGCAGTGCTGCGGCCGTCTCGGGTGTGGCGGGTCCGGCGGCTGCCGCGGGTCCCTCGGGCTCGGCGGCGGCTCCCGTGGGTCCGGCGGCGGCTGCCGCGGGTCCCTCGGGCTCGGCGGCGGCTGCCGCGGCTCCCGTGGGTCCGGCGGCGGCTGCCGCGGGTCCCTCGGGCTCGGCGGCGGCTGCCGCGGCTCCTGTGGGTCCGGCGGCGGCTGCCGCGGGTCCCTCGGGCTTGGCGGTGGCCGCCGCCGGCCCGGTGCGCGGGGCGGCGCTAAAGTCTGTTTTGGGTTTTGGACCTGGAATGGTGAAAAATCAGCCCTTGAGTTGTGTGACTGAAGAGTGTGAGGATGAGATCAGTGTGGAGCAGGATGAGGCTCACACAGCAGGGCAGGCGGAGACCTGCGCTCCTGAGCAGGGTGGGGCTGCTGCAGGTGAGCCGATGCAGGAGGAGGCTGCTGGCACGGCGCAGCAGCTGAGGACTGACTCTCGGCCTGCTCCAGCTCACAGTCAACAGGCAGTAGGTTTCTCAGATGCTGATGTAGACTCTGATTGTGTCTCTGTAGCAGACAGTGTGTCAATAAATCCAGACCTATACTCTCTTGAGGAGGTGACAGAGTTTCTAGATGACACCTATGGGAGATCAGTGGAGGTCACAGACTATTTCCCAGATATGCAGAAGTTTGTCCGGTCTGTGGACACTCTGCAGAAGGTCGTAGGTAAGGAGTTTTTATGTAATAAAAAAAGGTATCGCCTCAAAAAGCATGTGTCTAATGTGAGGAAAATTCTTAAAGGTAAACAGATATTGAAAAAAAGGAAAGTTTCCAAGTAATCCAGAATGATTGTACAATACCAGGTGTTTTCTCTTTGCTGTGTTGGTCTGTCTTTCCTGCTGCTCTGTCTGTCTTCTCCTCACCTGCAGCCCTTTACAGTTGCATCTTTAAATATTAATGGGGGTAGAAGTCCACAGAAAAGAGCTCTAGTGTCTGAAATTATTAGACAGAAAAAGATAGAGGTCGTCTTTCTACAGGAAACACACAGTGACATTGTTAATGAGACAGACTGGGGAATTTGGTGGGGGGGGGCAGTACGCACTCAGCCATGGCTCCAACCGGAGTGCTGGGGTGGGTATTTTATTCTCCCCCTCCTTACAGGTAAACATTTTATCCAGCTCAGAAATCATGGCGGGAAGAGCTTTGATGGTGAAGGTGGAAATTCTGGGGTTTGCTTTCACCTTTCTTAATATCTATGCACCCAATCAAAGCTCTGAACGTTTAGTTTTATTTAATTTATTAAAAAACGTTTTAGGGAACAGCAGCAGTCAGGGAGAGTGCATAATAATGGGAGGGGACTGGAACTGCTGTACGGATGGCACCTTAGACAGGATAGGGCAGGAGCTCCAGTCCCAATCATCCTCTTTCCTGGCTCAGATGTTGACGGAGTTTAACCTGGTCGACATCTGGAGGTTAAAACATCCCACCGATAAACAGTACACTTGGGTGAGAGTCTCTGACGGCATGGTCAGTGCAGCCAGACTCGACAGATTTTATATGTCCTCTTCTTTTAGCAGTCGTGCAGCCAGGTGTCAAATCCATCCTGTTGGCTTCACAGACCATCACTTAGTTTTATTAGAAATGGTTTTAACCTCTCCTGGAAAGTCCAGGTCATTCTGGCATTTTAATGTTAAGCTTTTACATGATTTTAACTTTTGTAATAATTTTAAATTATTTTGGGCTGAATGGAGGTCAAGGAAGGAGGATTTCCCCTCTCTAGGTCAGTGGTGGGAGGTAGGAAAGGGACAGATTAGGGTGTTCTGCCAGCAGTACACCGCCTACTCCACTGCTGACGTCCGGAGGGCCATGGACCAACTGGAGGCAGAGATCGGGGAGCTGGAGGGTGTGCCTGTGGGGAACCCTGAGCAGCTGCTCTCCAAAAAACAGCAGCTGAACTCCTTCCTCCTGGAGAAAGCCAAAGGAGCCCTGGTCTGAGCCCACTTCACTGCCATCAAGGACATTGATGCACCAACAACCTTCTTCTTTAACCTGGAGAAGTCAGAAGGCCAAAAAAAACAAATGGTGTGTCTCTGTCTGCCTGATGGGGGGTTAACCTCAGACCCCGCTGAGATGAGGAGGCATGCAGTGTTCTTTTACTCAGAGCTGTTTCGAGCGGAACAATGTGATGGAGAGGCTGCAGCTGAACTCCTGCAGGACCTTCCTCAACTGAGCCCAGCAGATCGGGATGCCCTGAGCCTCGACATTACCATGGAGGAGCTAACCTCTGCAGTAAAACACATGGCCTCAGGCAAAGCACCGGGTATGGACGGGTTACCAGCGGATTTTTACAAACACTTTTGGAATACCCTGGGACATGATCTTCTGGACGTGTTTCGGGAGTCCTTCCAGAGGGGAACTCTTCCAGCTTCCTGCAGGCGGGCAGTAATATCGCTGCTACCCAAGAAGGGGGACCTCACCCTACTTAAAAACTGGAGACCAGTGGCCCTGTTATGTAGCGACTATAAAGTACTGTCAAAGGTTTTAGCTAATAGACTGAAGGTTTTTATGGATGGTTTTATTGGTACTGATCAGTCCTACTGTGTCCCTGACAGATCCATCCTGGACAATCTGTTTTTAATGAGAGACATTTTTGATGTGTGCAGACTCTATAATTTAAAGACTGGTGTACTCTCAATTGACCAGGAGAAGGCCTTCGATCGTGTTGATCACTCCTTTTTATTTTCCACACTGCAGGCCTTTGGTGTTGGGGAGCACTTCTTGTCCTGGGTGAAGCTGTTGTACACGGGTGCATGTTGTGTGGTTAAAGTGGGGGGTGGACTAAGCAGTCCTGTACCAGTGAGCAGAGGCATCAGGCAGGGCTGCCCCCTCTCTGGTCAGCTGTACAGTGTGGCCATTGAGCCCCTTCTTTGTCTGCTCAGGAGGCGGTTAAGGGGATTGTGTCTGCCTGAACCGGCTCAGAGCCGGCCTTTGATTGTGTCAGCATATGCTGATGATGTAAATGTTTTTGTTCAGGGCCAGGAAGATGTTAAAGAACTTAAGCATTGCCTGGATCTGTATGAGAGGGCTGCATCAGCCAAAGTAAACTGGGAGAAGAGCGAGGCAGTTTTAGTCGGCCACTGGAGTGCAGGAAGCACCCCTAGTCTTCCTGGTGGCCTTAGGTGGGGTAGCAGAGGGCTCAAGGTCTTGGGAGTGTATTTGGGTAGGGAGGAAACCACTGCTAAAAACTGGGAGGGAGTGCTGGAGAAGGTGAAAGCCAAGTTATCTAAATGGAAATGGTTGCTACCTCAGATGTCTTACAGGGGAAGAGCTCTGATCGTCAATAACCTGGTGGCCTCGTCTCTGTGGCACAGGCTCCAAGTTCTGGACCCTCCACCAAGCCTCGTGGGACAGCTGCAGCGACTCCTGGTGGACTTTTTCTGGTCGGGTCACCATTGGCTTCGAGCGTCAGTCCTACACCTTCCTGTGGCAGAGGGGGGGCAGGGCCTGATAGACATCGCCTCCAGGACCGCTGCCTTCAGGCTTCAGGCAGCTCAACGTTTCCTGTACGGACCTTCTCACTGCTGGTTGGATGTAGCTCGGCTGCTGCTCCGGAAGGCTGGGCGGCTTCGCCTCGACAAACAGCTGTTTCTCCTGAAGCCCCCTGCTCTCACCTTCACTGATATTACACCTTTCTACAACTCTGTGTTTGTTGCGTGGAGGACTCTGGTTGCCACTCGACCATCTGACCCCAAGCCTGGGATGTGGCTGTTTGAGGAGCCACTTTTTGACAATGACCTTCTCGTTACCACCACGGTTTTATCTAACACCTTAAAAAGTGTCCTCACTCAAGCTGGAGTAGTTAAGCTTGGACATCTCACACGAACAACTGTAGGGAGTCTGGCTGACATGACTGGAGTAAGATCAACAAGAGTGCTGCTGAAC